AAATGCTACCTCATATGTGAGGTAGTCTGTAGCTACTAACATCCATCACACCTTCTGTTCTTTTCTGTGGTTGTTTGCTTACCTAGCTGACTTTCTGAGTTAAAAAATAAAACAAAATAAAGACTACAGCATCCATTTCTGGCAAGTTTCCAGCCTGTAAGTCCCAACAATCCATGAAACAATTCCTTAAACAAAATCTTGATCCTATTTGTCCTGTTTCGCTGGATAGCCCTGACTGATACAGCATAGAAGGGAGTTGATGTGCCTTCATAACAGACTCTAATTCAGTGGATGATTAAAATGTGGAAAGTGAGAACAGATGAAAGGAACTGAGATCATATCATCTAAAAAAGGGTGAGTAGAATCTTGATTGTCTTATTTTGTAGAGGTTTGGTGTCAGTTGATTTTATTTCCACTCAAGAGAAATTAAAAACATGGATTTAGGAATGCTTGGGGAATTACATCAACTGTCAATGTCCTACGTCAGCATAAGAGAATGCCAAATGTTCCTTATACATCAACAAATATACTGTGCCTCAAGGTTGAATGGTCTAATTTATCCAAACAGACCAGAAAGGATTGTACAATTTTAAATGTGCATATTTCTCAAACGTGTAAACATGCATCTTTCCTAATTATCTGTTTTTCATTGATCACAGACAATGTAAGATATTTTCCATTAGTTTTGTTGTTGTTGTTGTTAAGTGCCGTTGAGTTGATTGTGACCCACAGCAATCCTGTATAGGGTTTCCAAGGAGCAGCTGGTGAGTTTGAACCACTGACCTTGCAGTTCAAATGACTTTGCAGTCTGACGCATTAGCCCACAGCGCCACACCAGAACTCAACCATTAGTTTTAGCAGATATCAGTTCAGAAGAACTAGGTTGCCAAAGTTTGGCTTAAAGTCTTTTTGGAGAAACAAGTCAATGGTGATGGGGGAGAATTACTGGATGTACCTATAATTCTAAAATTCCTTATGTAGGAATAGATAATAGATAAACACAGAAATGAAGAGAGCAGAGACAGAGAGTAAGAGAGAGAATAAAATAGAATAGAGTTAGAAAGCTGGAGATACAAAGAGGAAGAGAGAGACAGAGATGGGGAAGGACAGAGAAATAGAGACAGAAAGAGGAAGACGTTGTCTGACTTGTGACTTCTAAGAGCCAGCTTTGCCCTTTTTGACGAATGAGTCTCCTTTGTTTCTGTATCCTTAGCATAAACTTTCTTTTTCACTTGACCTACTTTAAATGGCTAGATGCGTCCCCCACAAGGAATATATTTTGACTAGGGTAATTATTGCTTTGGAGAAATTAATTGTCCATGTCTTGAGAAGCTTAATTACATAAGAGGATAATTATGTGGAACTTATCATATACATGTATGTATATTATATACATGTTACTATTGTGGGTTCTGACTCATAGGGAATCTGTATAGGGTTTCCAAGGAGTGGATGGTGAGTTTGCATCACTGACCTTGCAGTTTGTAGTCCAGTGCTTTTCCTACAGTACCATGCCAGGACTCCATATATATGTGCAGTCCATAGATATACAATCATATATGAGAGTGCCAGGACTCTATAAGATAAGCATTGAACTGAGAACCATAAAGTTGGTGGTTTGAGCCCAACAGCTACTCCTTGGGAAAAAGATGAGGCTTTCAGTTCCAGCAAAGATTTACAGCCTTGAAAACCCAAGAGAGGGAGGCTGTAAGTCAAAACCAACTCGATGGAATGTAACAAAATCAACAACAGTAATCACACACACACACACACACACATATGTATATACATATACACACACATATATATCTATATATATATGCTCACCATATATATACCCACCATATATTGTTGTTGTTAAGTGCCGTTGAGTCGGTTCTGACCCATAGTGACCCTGTATAGGGTTTCCGAGGCTGTAAATCTTTACAGGAGTAGAAAGCCTCATCTTTCTACCGCGGAGTGTCTGGTAGTTTCGAACTGCCTACCTTAAGGTTCACAGCCCGATTAGTAACCACTATGCTACCAGAACTCCTTCCCAATATATATATATATCCATGTGCCGTGGAGTCGGTTCCGACTCATAGCGACCCTACACAGGATTTCCGAGGCTGTAAATCTTTACGGGAGCAGATTGCCTCATCTTTCTCCCGCGGAACAGCTGGTAGTTTCGAACTGCATGGAGCTCTGGTAGC